TTAAGTGGAGAGCAAATGTTTTGAGAATGATGAGGGCAACGAATGTACAAATGTGCTTTACACAACTGATGTATGTATGGATTGTGATAAGAGTTGTATGAACCCCTAATAAAATGATTAGAAAAAAAAAAGAAAACAAACTATAGACTCACCAGCTTTTAAGTCACAGAACTCAACCTCCCCAGGGCATAAAAGGGACTGAATTTACCTATGTTACTGCCCACCAGACTCATCTGGAGACTTCCACTTCAAAACACTCCTTTCAAGCCAACTGGAGACTGCCCGCCCCCTCAGCTCTCCACACAAGCCCCTTACCCGAGCAGCTTCCACAATCGCACTCTCAAACTCTCGGTAAGCCTCCCAGATGGCGAGTCCTTTGGTCAGGTGCAGGCCGACGGACGAGAGCGCCCTTTCAAACACGGAGCGTACCTTCTCAAGGCCGCCCTTCTGGCCAATTCCTCCGACGGAGTACTGCCCATACTCCAGCCAGATGTTCGGGCCTGCAAAGGGCAAGTGTCCGGTGAGTTGTCTGCTCCTGTGAAGACTGGCCGTCTCAGAAACTCACAAGCCAGCTGGGCTCTGCCCTACAGGGTCTCTCTGAGGCCAATGGCAATGAGTCGAGTGAGGGTTTTTTCGGGGATCAGAGGATAGTTTCAAAGGCTCCTACATGAATCTTTTAAAGATTCACACATAAACTCATGCTATAAATAAAGTTACAATGGCAATGTGCTGGCTGCTGCAGCGTTAAGAGCCGTCAGTGAGAGGGAGACAAGGGCCCAGCCCCCGAGGAGCTGGAACGAGTGTGGACCCGGGGCTCCTCCGTGCGTGGCTACCTCTTCCTGGGGCTCTGAAATTATTCCTTCCACTTTCTATTTGAAAACCTAGACCAGTGGTTCTCAACCTTCCTGAGGCCGCGACCCTTTCATACAGTTCCTCATGTGGTGGTGACTCCCCCACCCATAACATTATTTTCGTTGCTACTTCATCACTGTCATTTTGCTGCTTTTAAGAATCAGGTGACTCCTTGAAAGGGTCGTTTGACCCCCAAAGGGGTCTCGACCCCCAGGTTGAGAACCGATGCCCTAGACAATGATAAATAATAATTGAACTCAAATCTTGCCACAGGTTGGCCCAAAACAAAACTCAGAAGAGGCAGGAGAGATG